AGGGACAGGATCAATTCAGTAATGTTTTGAGTACTTTCCTTGATTGTACTCCTGTCCCCTTGAGTTTTTTTCTGCCCCATTGGCCTTACAGAGATCCTATAAAATGCAACAAGATCAGTCCTATATTGTGAAGTATAAAATGCACATCACCATTCTTCACAATACACTGATTGTCACCCAGAATAAAAGCCAAAGTCCTTACAGGTGTCTGCGAGGCTCTAAATACATGCTATTCAATATGGTAGCCATTAGCCGCATTCTCTCTTGGACATCTGAATTGTAGCACGAACCACGATTTGCTGCAAGTTTATTTTAATATATAATGGCTTTAAAAAGTAATGCTAATGTAAGGAATGCAAAATGCCTTACTGATAACTTTATTGGCAACATGTTAGAATTATATTTTGATTTTTTGGGTTTTTTTTTTTTTTTTTTTTTTTTTTTTTTTTTTTTTTTTTTTTTTTTTTTTTTTTTTTTTTTTTTTTTTTTTTTTTTTTTTTTTTTTTTTTTTTTTTTTTTTTTTTTTTTTTTTTTTTTTTTTTTTTTTTCCGGGGATTGAACTCCTGTCCTTGCATTTGCAAGGCAGGCCACCAAACCACTGAGCTAAATCCCTTGCCCTAGAATTATATTTTGGATATATCAATTTAAATGAAAAGTATTAAAATTACTTTCACCTGTTAGCTTTTAGACATGCCCACTAAAACTGCAAATTGTAATTTGCTATTTAATTTGTCATTCTATATATTTCCATTCCACAGCACTGGCCTAACTTTTTAACAGATCACTAGATCTCTCCCATTTTCTAAATGCACTGGCATCTACTGTCTCTCACCAGGATATATCTGTTTCGAAGATGGTGCTGGGTTCTCCCTCTTCCTGGAATGTCTTCCTTCAGATAACTTCTTGGTTTGTTTCCTCACTTTTCTCTCTCCTCTGTCAAAATTATCAAAAAGATGTTCTCTGCCCAATCAATTTTAAATGATCTCATTCAACATGAGCATAGCTTCACCACTCCTCTCTAGTTTTGGAAAGCACTTATCATAAAACAGATTATATACTTGTCTTTGTTTACACAAATATATTCCATACACATACAAATGTAGGTGTGTCTACTCTACCCTGAGTAGAATGTAAGCCCCTTGAAGTTGTGGTCTGTGCTGTTTATTGGTATTTTTTAAATAATAGTATTTGTTTGATAGTGGAAACTAATTAAATATTTGTTAAATAAATCAAAGAGTGAATAAAAAAATAAGATGATATCAAAAGTTTTTATCAAAAAGAAGTATTTGAAAATGAGAACTAACCTTCCCTGGGACTACAATAAATTAGATTCAGTGATAAGCATTTATGTTCAATATCCTAATAAACCGATAGAGAAATGTACTTACAGATAGGAAATTCAAAGCTCAGAGAAGGTGAGGAACTTTTCCAAGGTCACTTAGCTAGTAGTATCGCTTCTATAGCTCTTGTGTTCTTTCATGTCTTTCTAGTGCCTTCCCTGATTCCCAGACTGAACTACATGCTCGTGTCAGTACTTCCAGAGTACTCAGCTTTCCTTTGTATCATCTGTCGACACTGTAACTCACTCTATTATGCAGCCTTATGCAAGGCCTTCTGTGCTACACTATAAGCAGTAAACACCTTGTTGATAACTCCATATCCAAAGACTCCACCCTTGTCTAATGTTTAACCTGTAATATGTAGTTCTCAAATAAATTAACCAATGAAATTAGCCTTCTACTCGGATGTTCTAAACAGTCCCAGAGAGGAGTATTTGTGCCCCTTGAGAATTAACGATTTTATGTACCAGTGGCATGAGCGGCATCATTAGAATGAAGCTCAGATGCACACCGGAGGGCAGAGGATGCTGGTGCAGGGGTGAACTGTTTGCTCTTCACTGCTGACCATAAGTCATGGCTGGTGTGTACATGTCCCCCCGAAGCTTCACACCAATGAGGTGGGGATTCTTTTTCAGAGGTGGCTGAATCTAGAGTTTGTAACTAATCCCTGGTGCAATGCCAGGCCAGAAGGTATGAGAGGATTAAGGTGTCAGCACTCCCCACCCTAGGTAGTCTGAGTATGATAAAAGGGGAAGAAAGGCACTGCTAAGGTCTCTTGCTTTTTCTACCTTCTGCCGGCATGATCTGTTGCCCCTCGGCCATGCCACCCTGCCTTAGGGCCCGCCAGTTATGGACTGAAACCTCTATGAATTGGAAGCCAAACACACCTTTCCTCTTTTTAATGTTGGGTGTCAGATATTTTGTTTCAGCCAAGAGAAAAGTAGCTAATACACTGTACATAGTGAGGATCCTGTGAAAATGTGCTGCTCAATATGGCTGCACCTAACCACGTGGGTCTATTTAAATAAAAATAAATTAAAACTGAAAGTCTATTTCCTCCATCACACTCGCCACATCTCAAGTACTCAATAGCCATACGTGGCAAATGGCTGCCTTATTGGATAGTGATAGAAGGTATTTCCACTAGAGGAGATTTTCTATTGAGTAACAGTGTCCTACAAGACATATTTTTGGGAAAGACATATTTTTAAATCACAGGGACCTTTTGTCTGACTGATTTTGCATTTTAGCTAAAATTCAACTTTGAGAAAGATTCCGATAATGTGTACTCCCGTGTGTCTCTGGGCAAGGCTTAGACATGGAAAAGGAGGTTCACTGTCCAGCAGAGGAAGCGTCCAGTCAGACACGTTCATGCCCAGCCAGTGACTGGTGTGGAAAGACCAGCTCCTCCCAGGGCCAAGGGCAGGGCCCCTGTTCCGAGGACGCTGCCAGCGCCTTGCTGGATCCAGCCCTTCTGTCCAATGCCATTCAATACCATCTCTTGGTTTTGATGTAGAAAGCAGAAGGCTGAAATGTGAGCAGGAGGAAAAGGCTTTGGGGATGCCAGTTGCACCCCAGACTATACTTAGATGCACAACCTTTAAGTGAAGTTTTTTGAAGTCCCCTTCTTCAAAATGCCACACTTAAGTTGATTTTTTTTCACAAAGCAACCAACTCAAAATTATTTTGTCCGATAGAATTTAACTCTCCTGACATTCTGTTGCTGAAAAATTCCTTCCCTCGTTTGAAATGTAAAATTCTATTGTCATCACCTTAGAAATACACTTTATAGACAAGAATAAAAACTATCCTCTGTTTTCCTTTCTGATTAAGTTCGCTGGGGTGGGAACTTTCTGAGTTCCGGCAGAGGCGGCATGGACCCCATGCACTTGCTCTCCGGTAGCCAACATCGCGCCTTCAGACGGAGCTGGTCGAGACTGAACACAGATCTTGGTTCTACCCTCCGGTCGAAGAGCCCCAGGGGGAGAGCTGAGGAGGCCCCTTAGGCAGCCCCACCTTTCCCAACTCAACAGGTGAAGAAGGCCGGGTTTGCCTGTTCTTTGGTGAGCCAGCTTCCCTCACCTCCCCGGCCCCCGCCTTTCAGAAAAGGCCTTTCCAGTCTGGGATTTCCTCAGACCCCAAGCTCCGGGCCGTTCGGTAAACACTGGGGAGGGGTGGAAGGCGCAGGCAGCAGAGGGGAGGACGCGGGGCGGACGGGCTGAGTTTCTGAAGTGAGCGGGACAGGGCGTGAAGAGGGAGCGCCGAGGGGCAGGGCGGGTTTAACGCGAAAAAGGATGGAGCCGCGAAAGTGGCCTCGGGTCGCCTTGGGCCGGGACAGAACCGACAGAACCGGGAAGGGTCTCGCCGGGCCGAGGCGGGCTGTGCTGGAGAAGGGGGTCCCCAGAGG